CGTCTCGTTCCCGTGGGATACTGTGAGCTCGTGCCATTGCGGTCCAATGCTTCCGTAATCCAGCCCGTGATAGCTAATCCTAGATTCGTGTCCAGTGATTCCTATTGCGTGGTTCGTGTTCCGAATTCCGTGCGTACTACTACTACTATGTCTACGTAGCATTGCACGTATCTGGTGGGGTAACTGGACTAGCAGTGCTGAGGTTAGGCGTAGAGTTTTANTAATGGTTGTAAAAACTGAAACTGAAACTGATATGAAGACCACGGATTAGTTCACTCATTGTCTTACAACTGATTGATTCAGTTTTATCAATCGGAAGGGTTGATATGTGTATAGTGGTAATTGCCATGCACATTGGATAAGTTCATATTTAAACTGTTTCTCCAAATTTGTGTGAGGATAAATTAGAATTTACGAGATCCTGAGGATATGCACAGATGAACATGAGCCTTATATAGTTGATAAAGGTTGTTTCATTCCGTTAGTAAATAACTGATCATCAAACCGACCATCCTTCAGAATCCACTAATCATCAGTTCATCCAGTCAACTGGACATGCAAGAAGCACTAGACTTGAGTTTAGATGCCATTCGAGCATAAAAGTATTGAGCATCTACCGTCCCATCGTCCGGGCTTTGAATTGCGGACCCATTACATGGCAGGTGTTTGTTACCATGGTGCTAATCACCTNCACTCTATATGTATTCCCCATCTTCCGCTTGAATTTGCTTCGAAATTCCAATCTTCATTTCGCTCTTTTATCCAAATGGGCAACCAAAACCGGCGCAGGAAAGTGCATGGTTAATGGTTGTAAAAACTGAAACTGAAACTACTACTACAATCATTACACCCACCCAAGGCGGTACTGTCAAGTTTCGCAACGTTTGACCACATGTTTATCTCCCACGCAGACATTTTGGTTCATAGCAATTTTTCTTCTGACTCGTAGGGCTGTTGCAAACCCCCAATCCACAAAGGAACTCCAAACCAGAGACTCCTCGTCGTTCCTTGGAGCTCCGTATGTACCGCATTGCCGTTGTCGCCCATCCAGCTTCGTATTCTTTCGTGCAGTCCCGGAGTACGTTTACACCACAATACCACTATGAAATTATGTATCAAGCTCTATTCACCTAAGTCTAAAGACTAACAGAACGGGTGGCAATGGTAAAGTGGTTTAAGTCGCTTTCACCGGGGCTTCGGGTTCGAGATTCGAAAACCGCTACCCAACTCTGGTAACCTTATCGTCCTGCTCAACACCACACTTAACCTAGCAGCACATCATCATCATCATCAGTCCAATACTTGGGGCTTAGGTCTCCGGTTTCGATGACTGAACATCTGGTCCTCGTGACTATGACGTTTACCCCGTCCGCTTTTCATCACACAATGTATGTAATAAACAATATTGTTTCAAACACAACGTTGTTTCTCATTCCTATTCAGGCTTCTTTCAAGATTTTGTCTTCGTTCACGCTTGTTTAGCTTCGATAGGGCTTAGCACAAACGCACGTCCCAACAGTTAGACTGTACTTTAACCATCTAGATAGGGTGCTTCGGAAATGACCGAACGACCACCAGTGGGAAGCATGTGCGTTGACGATAGCTTATCCGTTGCACAAACCATAGTGTACAAGAGGCTTCCATTGAAAAGGAAGCTATTAGGTCATTGCGTTCGTGTGCCTGCTCGTGCATGTGCAAATGCCATGAATAGGAGCAAAATTCAATGTCATTACTCTTTGAGCGTTTGTGGACACAGTTAGAAGCTCAGGGTGGAGGCTAGAGGGCCACGGGTAACAATGTGGGGGTGCTAAGGCTTGATTGGCTGGTAGTAAGAACAAAGTAACACAAAAATCTGTTATTCCATTTATTTACTATTTTTCATTTTAACTGTTTCAACTTCCTTTCACTCTGTTCTGTATCTCAATCCACCCGTCCTCTGGGATTGGTAATATTATTATTCTTGTGGCTTTGGAGCCATGCTTGTCCACAAGTCGGTGTTATATATATATATATATATATATATATATATATATATATAGTTTATTGCATGTTGCGTTCAAAGTTCATGCAATCTTGTGCATAATTGAAAGAAGTAAAATATCGAATACAGAATTAGAACAGTGCTTTATGCGATTCTTTGATGGTATGAACCACTCGTATTCGGGAGTTGCACATTTTATAGATTAAATAATAAGTGAACCTCAATCATGCGACCAACGAGGATCGGAGTGTGATGTTCAACGAAAGCGAGCATTTCAGCCACGGGCTGCACTCGTTGCGAAATGGGACAGAGGCGGGCAAAAGATAAACAAATCAACTAATGTGCATGGGTACGGGGGTGTGTATTTGTGTGTGCGCGAAAAATAACGCTAACTAAACCAGACGCGAATCAAATTTCGTCAACCGAAGTTATGATGAGACGGGAAGTATTTCACGTGCATGTTGAATGAAATGTTTGACCCAAGAAAAAATTGACTAAAATATGACATTTGAGATTCAATGGATGCAGCGATTTTCCACAAACAGCCGTATTCCGCATCAGCACCTCTTGGAACATTCGGACGTTGACTGGTCAGGGTGACCATCAACAGTGCCACAGGTTGTGGAAACACTTTTGTAGACCGCATTTTGGTCAGTCAAATTTAAGCTAGGTTGTCAGCCTAGTTCTTAATTCATCCCAACGAGTGCACTCATCACTTTGACACTTTGAGTTCCAAGTATCGGACATCCTGTCACATCTTTTTAGGCTGCTCACGGTGCTTGTTTTGTTCATAACTCTCACATACGTGACATATGTCGGAATGAATACTCACCTTTCTATAAGCGTTGGTTCATTCCTTCCCCATATGTGTTATCATTTATAATACCGGATACGCTGCTCCGCGTCGTTCCGCCCTCATGTTTCCCAGGTGATAGCAAGCCTCGGTGATTATGTGATCTTTCCTGTTCTGATCGCATCATGCTCTCGTATGCAAAATCTTCAGGTTAAGTCATGAAAAACATCCTAATTCGATGCGTAATTGAATTGATGGTGTTTCGCTTTTTAAACACAACTAGCTGTCTGCAGTGATGTGCTCAGCCCCGTGTGATCTTTTTATTCAATCG